TTTTAACCGGGTTATAAGAAATTTAAAAAAAAAAAAAAAAAAAACCTGTACGACAACTTGATAAAAAAACAAAAATAGGTTTCCAAGTGTAATATTTTTACATGTATATGTTTAATAAACTGTTAGGTGTGTGTGTGCGTAACATTAATAAAAAAAGTTTAACGTTCGGGATGCTAACAAGATGAGTACTAAATAATAGTAGAAGGTAAAATATTAAAGATGAACGAAGTTTTTTTTTTTTTTTTTTTTTTTTTTACGGACATTAGGATGTAAAAAACAACAAAAATTTGATTACAAAAATTTAGTTAATAAACGAGGAGGAGAAGGGAGAATTGAGGGGGGGCAAATATTTTCTAATGCCCTTTTCCTATTGTTTTTTTTTAAATAAAAGAAAAGAATGTTAAAAACTAAACAATTAGTACCGTTAGTTATAATAAATCAAAAAAAAAAAAATTTGTTTTTTGTATGGTAACGACTACGTATTATTATTATTGCCACACAAAACTACTTTTTGATTTTTTAGTTTTACTTTTGAGTTTATTAACTCGAAACTAATAAAAGAACTAAAAAAATTTTCTTTTTTTTAGTCTTTGTTAATTTATCATAATTAAAAATGTATTCGAAAAAATATATTATATTACTAAAAAAAAATTATGTTTAATAATAACTGTTATTAATATAAGTAGGACGATTAATTACTCAAAAATCCTATTGAACTAAAGAAATTTAAAAAAAAACTTTTAACATTGTGCGTGTGCGTGTGTGCGTGTGTGCGTGTGTGCGTGTGCGAGCGTAATAAACGAAGAAATTGTTTTGTGCGAATCATTTATTCCCGTTGGCAATTCTCGTTTCCTCATTTTTTTTTTCTCTCTCTTTGAAATCGTCATTTTTTCAATAATAAAAATAAAAATTAAATTCTTCTCAAATACCCGTGACGTCATTAATTAATATAATTATATTTAAAAATAGAAAAAACAAAAAATTTTACAAATGACGTCATATTGAAAAGTATGAAAAAATTTTTCCAATGTAAAATAATATTATTCATCGAGGAGGAGAATTTTCATTTTTGTTTAATTATCATCATCATCATCGTCATTCTTATCGTTTTAAATGATAATGATGATAATGATGATGCGATTCATTCATTTATATTATTAGTAATAGTATATTATATTTTATTTAAGTCTCAAATCAAGTCGATTTAAGAGAAGTTGTCGTGTCGGTCGGTCGGTCGGTACATCCGCCAGCTGACTCTAATCAAACGAAAGTGAATTAAGGTTATTGACCTCGAAAAATCTTATTGAATTGTTTTTTTTTTACTATTTATTTAATTTATACTAAAACTATTTTATTTATTTATTTGTAAAATTTATTAAAATTTGTAAATAATTTATACATCGAATCACACGACGGTGAATAATAATAGTAATAAAATTTATTAGTTAAGCGTCATTACCGTTTTTTTTGGGGGGGGGAGGAGGGATAAATAAAAAAATTTTGAATTGGAGAGTTTTAAAAGGTGAAAAGGTTAATAAGTTTAATTAATTTGTGCGTACGGAATTAACGGAATGTATAATTTTATGTGTAAAAAATTTTTTTTTTTTTTTTTTTTGAACTCGTGTGATCTGATTTATTTTTTAAATAAATTAAAAAAAAAAAATTTTTTTAATTAATCCCAGTTATTAGAGACTGTTAATAAGATTAACGTTTGTGGATTTTATTTTTATTAATCGAGTAATAAAAATAAAATAACGGTAATAAAAATTACTGTTACGAAAAGAATAAAAAGAAAAAAAAAATTTTTAAATTCGCATTTGAATAATATCCAATACATATACATATACATATATTTTTTTTATCGAAAAAGTAATTTTATACCGTAATAATAATAATAATAATAATAATAATAATAATAATAATAATAATAATAATAATAATAATAATGATAATGATATCTGTTAAAAGTATGAGAAAAAAAATATATATAGGTGTATTAAAAAAAAAAGAAACTTTCTTCTTCTTCTCATTAGGTAATTTATTTTTTACATAATGGGATATTATTAAACTAAATCCGTGTACGGTTTTTTTTTTAATAAATAATATTTATTTTAAACGAAAAACGGTTTTTTTTTGAATTTTTGGCGCCAAAATAAAAGAAAAGAAAATTTTTTTTTTAAATTTAATGTGAATAAAAGTGAGAGTTTATATATATATTAAAATTGAAAGTTTTCACGGCATACGTATCGTGGATGGAAAACTAGTTTCAATTTTTTTTTTCCTTTTTCTAAATTGTAATTTTATTATTATTAATATCCGTTTCCCCCTCACCCACAAATAATTGATATTTATTATTATTATTATTATTAAATTTGAACTTTTGCACTTTGTGACGAGTCTTTCATAATCAACAGAATTTTTTTCCAGCATTCATTTTATCGATTGCTCAAGAGTATATAAATCGAATCGATATTTTTATGTGAAAGTGGGACGGACCGTGGAAAGCTATTTCCGGTACGCCTTATTTTTCCAAAAAAAAACCCTCTCGGAATTGCTTTTTGGCGATTGCTGTTATATGAGTCTCGATTTTCCCGAAATTATTTTCCTTTTTACAACCTCTACGAATTTCGCCAAATTTTTTTTTTGAGGGGAAGGGGGTTTTTTGGCTGTTGTTTTGATTTTTCTCACCGGTACGATTTTTTAAAATTAATTTACATCAGTTTTAAGGATTAGATTCTGACGATAATGATGATGTTTGTGTTGATTGATCGACACTAATTCCACGATGAGTATTTGTTGATGACGTAGGCCTAAAGTCAAAACCAGGTTCGGAATCAACGAATTTGGTGGCATAAAATTATTTTGTGCGAATAATTAATAAATGAATTAACGGATATCTTGAAAGGGATTAACGGATTAAAATTTTTATTATTTATTGGATTAATAATTTTTTTTATTAAAACGATAATTTAAAGATTTAAAACTTTTTCTTTTAAGTAAATTTAAATAAAAATTTTGCGTTTTTTTTTTTTAAAACAAAGAATAGAAATCAGTAAGAAAAGATTGATTGATTAAAAAACGGTCAGAAATTTAGATTTTGTTTGTGCGAGTTGAAATTACCACACAATTGTTAACATTTTTATTGTTTTCTTTCTTTAAATAAATAATAATTTCGTAAATGGATTTAATTATTTAAACAATTAAATAAATTTATCTATTTGTTTAAAAAAAAATTTTCCTTTGAATTATTTTTCGTCCAACGATTTTTACGTTCGCCCTTCTTTTTGTTTTATTTCTTGGCAAAACTTTTATTGGTTCATCGTATTATTTATTTATTTTTTTTGGCGTCTGCTTTTTCAAAATGATAATAATAACAACAACAATAATAAATATTTGACTTTCAATGACATCATTTGACGTTAATGAAAAAATTGAAAAAAGGAGGAGGAGAGGAGGGGAAAAGGGGAAAGAGAGAAAAATAAAAAAAATAAAAAAAATTTCTTTCTTCTATATATTAAAATTAATGACTTGCCAACTATTATTATTATTATTATATCAGCGTCATCATCATCATCATCGTGGTAATCATAACCATAATCGTAGCTTTCGTGTGAATATTTTTCAAAAAAAAAAAAAAATTAATTTGTTATTTAAATTATTATTATTATTATTATTATTATTATATTTCTCAGAGTTTATGTTACACGATAACGTCTACCTGACTAGCGTTTAAGCGTTTTATTGTTTTATTATTATTATTATTACTCATTTTTTTTTTTTTTTTACAACGACTTCCTTCCTTTTTTCCGGTTTTCATTTTCTATCTGATATCGATTATTTGATTTTATTTTTGCATTGTAATTATTGTTTGTATAAAAAAAATCCCATCTCATTATTCGACGTTTAATCATAATTTCTTCTTTTTTTTAACGATTTTATACATTCAAAGGTTGTATGTTTCCATTGTGTGTTTATACTTAAAATAATACCTTGAAAAATAGTTTTTTTTTATTTAAAAAAAAAAGTTTAAATAAATAAAATCCACGAGACACAATAAATAAATAAATAAATAAATAAAATTTTGTAATTGAATACGACAAACAAACAAAAAGTAAAAGGAAAAGTAAAAAAATATTTATTGTTTTTTATTTTTCATTATTATTATTATTATTATTATCATTTCGGCAATTTTTTTTGTCGGGCGAACTCAAAAATAATAATAATAATAGTAAATAATATTATTAAATAATTATAAATTTTTTTTTTTAACATGTGAAAAAGTAGAACAAAATTTATTTTAAAAAAAAAATATTTTCTAATTTATTTTGGTTTTTTTTTTTTTTGTTACAGATGATATACCTGACGCAGTCGCTTTGAATTTCCGGTTTTGAAAAATATTTATATTAAATATTAAAACCGGATATCGATTTGATTCCAACCTTTCCCGCCAAAAAAAAAAAAATTTGGAATTTATTAAAAAAGCGATGGAGAAAAAATTATAAAAAAAAATGACGTGGAAAATTTATCGATGTGATTTTACTTTTAAAAAATTATCATCATCATCATCGTCACTTACGTCATCGTTATCACTCGCGTGATAAAAATAAAAAAAAACGTAATAAAATAAACGAAATGTATGTATGTGTAATTCCATGTGAAAATACATAAAATAATCGAAAAGTTTCTTTATTGAAAAAAAAATGACTGAATTTAATAAAAAAAAATTAGAAAAAGTTTTCTCGTGCGAAACCGTTTCTAAATATCAACAAAGATAAATAATACTAATAATAATAATAATAATTGAGTATATAAAAGCGGGGATATTTTTAAGTAAGCAAAAATTAGGCGATTTTACATTAAAATCAGAGTTCGTCGTATCGACGACCTATATTCAATCAAATACATTCGAGCTCACACATTCTTAACGTGTAATCATCATCGGGTTGTGTTTTTTTTTTTTCTTTTTCGATTCGTAAATAATATTAATAATAATAATAAAAATGATGCTCACTAAAATGAAATTAAAGGAAAGGGTCATGATAAGTATAAGCATGATATTTGTCATGCTGACCCTTATCCTAGTTGTTGATTTACAAACGGATATGGGTATAACCCGTCAACATTTTTTACCGAGTCACGCGATAATTAAATATAATACGTCCGCGGATGGACCCGGTGGTGCTTATAACGCATTTCAAAGAAGATTTTTATTAAAAGGCAACGTTTCGAAAGAAAGTGGTGGTGGCGGTTCCGTTTTAGTGCAAGGTGGAAGCGGTGGTAGCGGTGCATCCCAACAACAACAACAAGAAATTGTTGGTAATGGTGGTAGTAAAGCATCGAAATATTCATCGTCGTCGACGGCGGGGAAAGAAGAACAACAACCGCCACACGATGATTTTAAACAATTATACGAATACGTATTTGCAACAAAACCTGGAAGAAAATTTATAAGGAACGGTGTTGTCAAATTGGTTAATAACGACGATTGGCCGAATAATCCGACGATACAAGAACTTCTTGGAATACAATACAGGTAAGAAAAAATTTTTTTAACCGTTAATTCGTTATTTGTTAGAAAGAGAAAGAGAAAGGGAGTATTTAAATGTATCGTCGCATTCGAATTTCTGAGTGAATATATAAAATTTATTCCGATACGAATTCGATTATAAACAAACGAAAAAGGTTAAAGGTTAAGTTAATCCTCTTTTTTTTTTTTAAAGATTTTTTTCTCATAATTTAAATCTTTCTTGTAAATAAAAAAAAAAAAAAATTGCTCAAGTTAACTGGTCAACCATAATTCAAGTGATTTCTAGTGGGCCTTAGGGGGATGAAAACCATTTAAACCCTTTTGGGGATTTAAAAATGTTTTTTTTTCTTACCTCACGCCTTCCCTTTCCCTCCTCCCTTTTTGATTTTCACCCTCCTCTTCCTCCCCGTCTTCCTTCGGCCAAATTCAATGCAGCAGCAGGAACATCATCCTTACGTATCACTTTATCTATCGCTCTCTTGAGATTTAAAAAAAAAAAAAAATTTCTTCTGCTTTTTTTCCGAGGCAATTTTTCCTTTTTCCAATAAAATAAAAAAAAAAAAAGAAAATCTTTTTTTTTCTTTTCTTTTAAATGTCATATTTTGACCTTTTTCTAATTTTTTCTTTTTTCCCTTTTTTTTTTTCCTCCCGAAATGATAATGATGATAGTAACACGAACTAAAAATATATAAATAAAAAAAATTTATTATTATTATCATTATTAATATATATATATATTTCGTTTTTAAATAAATAAATAAAAGTTACTACTAGAAATCCTTGACCTTAACTATTAACCCACAAAATAAAAAAAACTTTTTTGTCCTTTTTTTTTAAACGAAGAAACGTGAAAATTTGAAAAAAAAAATTATTACCGTAATAAATATGTAACATTAATAACCCGAAAATTTTTTAAATATCAAACAAACACTTTTTAGAAAATTATTAATTAATTACGTAATTAAAAAAGTAATAATAATAATAAAAATTCTCTTTTTTTTCAAATCGATTTAATAAAACGATTTTTTTTTTACTTCGATTCGATTATTTGACGCCATTTTGTTTTTTTTTTCTATTCGAAAAGAAAATTTTCGTTATTTTATTTAAATAATAATAATAATAATAATAATAATAATAATAATAATAATAATAATGTCGTTCCGTACAAATTTTTTGTTTATTTCTTTCATCTCGAAATTTTTATTTTTATTTTTGGCAAAGTTTTAATATTATTATCATTTTTCATTTAGATAATTAGTTAATAAAATCTACGGAAAAAAAAAAACAAAATATTTATATATGTGACAAAATAACAACATGCCAATTTTTCATCTCTCTCTCACCTTCTCTCTTTTTCTCTCTCTCTATTGAAATTATTTAATAAATTTTTATTAATACGTAAAAAAAAAAGAAAAAAATGTTCTAGAAATTTTGTCTCATAAACGATTCGCGTTTTATCATCATCATTATCATTATTATTATTATTAATAATTTTTTTTCCCGTAACCTAAAAATAAAACATTAAACAATAATAATAATAATAATAATAATAAATTTTCGCGATGATCGGATTTTTTTTTTCGTAATAAATTTTTTTTTTTTTTTTTTACGCAACAACCAAAATAAAAATAACAACAACAACAAACAAATAACGTGAGGTTGGTATTTGCCAAATCGAATAAATGTTATTATTATTATTATTATCATATCCTCAGGTCGACAATTAATATATATATAATTCTATCGAGTGAATCTTTTGTCGTTAAAATTTATTTTAATATTATTATTATTATTATTACTACTACGATCGTTTGGCTCTTTAAAAATTCTTGTTTTTTTTTTTTTTCGTTGGTTTCGTCAAAGGAAAAATACAAAATTACGTATTAAATACCTTTAAGGTAAAAAATAATAATAATAATAGTAGAATGAGGGGTGGGGAGGGGGAATTTTTTTTAACGTTCGATACGAAAAAGGAAAAGTGCGAAACTTAAAATTTTCCATTTTTAATGTCGAAATAATTCGAGTGGCAATTAAAAGTTTTTAAAAACTGAATGAAAAGTTAAAAATTTTTTTTTTTTTTAAATATTTTTCGTCGGGTTTATTTAAACTTTCAGGACCGTAAATTAAATGAATGATATTCGCTAACGTATTTTTCCTTTTTTCCTTTCTTTCCTTTTTATTAATTTGAATTTGAGCGGGAAATTTTTTTTCTCTCTTTCTTATAAAATTTTAAATTCTATTCGATTAAAATCGTTGTAAAAATTAAAAAGTATCTTATTGAACAAATTCACGTGAGGTTTTTATTTATTTCTATCATTATTATTATTATCATCATCATCATCATTATTATCATTATCATACCCTCAAAATCAAACCACGAATTCGATAAAAAAAAAAAAAACGTCCGCAAACAAAAAAAAAACATAATTTTGTCAAAAAAAAAAAAAGAGCTCGTTAAATGATGAAAAGGAAATGGTTCATTGAGTATTTCCGGTTTGGTTTGATTCCACCGTTGTAACAAAACAAAAAAAAAATGGCGACGGTAATTGTTTAACGATGGAAATAAATTTTTTTTTTTTATTTCACGCGCGAATAATAATAATAATAATAGTAATAATGGAAAAAAGCAACGAAAAATCGAATAATATCTTTTACACGTATATATGTTTACGGTTTAAATAATAATAATGATAATAATAATGGTGGCGGTTAAAAATTGACCACGTGTAATTTGCAACATAATAATAATAATAATAATAATAATAATAGTAATCATTTTTTCTTTTTAACCGAATTAATTTTTTTTAAAAAATGATTTCTTAATTGGATAACCGAAAAGGGCGGTTTGTGTAAACATAAATAATCAATGAATCGCAGCATAAAATATGTATGTATGTTATCTGATACATTTAACGGCAGCAAAAAATTTTTTTTTGTTTTGTTTTCAAAACGGATTTAAATAATATTAAAAAAAAAAAAAAAAAGAATTACGATTTGCGTTCGTTTGAAATAAAAAAAAAACTTAATTTTTTTTTTGTATTTATGACCATTGTTATTGACTTTACTTAATTCACCGCAAAATAGTAATAATAATAATAATAATAATTGCTATAAAATCCTAATGAATGTAATCGTTTCGAAAAAAAAAAAAAATAACATTTGGTATCTAGCTCAAGGACTTTAAATTATTGTCAGCATTTGAAAAAAAAATTTTTCATGCCTGCGATGCACAACACGCGCACAACATCAACCTGTTTTTTTTTTTTTCGGTTGGTAAACTTTCATCAGGTATGACCCCTATACGAGACTTCTATTATTATTATTATTACCATCAGCCTATCGTTGAAATTTTGAATGATAACGATAGTCAGGTACGATGACGTACGAACACACGAAAAAATTTTTTTTGTTTGTTTTTATTGTTTT